TGCGTCACCAAAAATTATTGAGGCCATGTACATATATTACGCGATAAGTCGATATATTGATTATTGCGACAGGCCTAAGTACCTTTCTGCTTTTGTCAAGGTTTGCTGTGTGTAGTGTATTTAACATTGTAAAAAATGGTATTTATCATTTATCAGGAAGACGCATTATTGGTGACTTAATATTTTAAGTTTAAGCTGCAGGATTGTTGTTAAAATCCGAAGGTCGTATTATACTAAGAGTAATTGTTGAGGTTATCCTTGTAGCAAAGTCAACAGGAAATTGAAGTTTCTGACTGAAGTGACCTTGTATTAGATGTGTGTGCAGGGCCATCTGCTGGTAGCTCATGTTTATCGTTCTTCTGTGTGCCTTTTTTTTTTTAGGTTTAAACATGTTTTGTTTCCAGTGGTTGATTGGAAGATTACATATGTAGATATTTTCTTAACCGTTACAGTGGACTTGCTTTTCACATTAGGGCCAGTAGATTATTTTTCAGTCAAGGTCTTGAGCAGTAAGTTACATGTTTACTATGTTGTTGGTGATTGTGTTATAATGGTTACTGGAGATTTAGTAATGCAAATGTCAGTTTCAACAGTTCATGGTAGATTATTAATCACGGAGGTAATTATTTTCCTTATGAAACTTTTTATTTTATTTTATTGATTTCAATTCTTTTTAAATGTTTCTACTTTAAATTCATTTGGGATGTTTTGGAAATGAATGACTTGTTCATTACTTCTCTATGTATTTTCAGCCAAAATTCCTCATTGTTTAAAACCACAGCGTTAGTTCCTCATATGCAATGACCTCAAACAAGGCTGGCTTATTTTATGACAGGTTGAGAAAATCTTGATTAGAGGAGTCAAGATGAATTTCTTCACTATTAGTTCTTTCACTATATATTTTTCTATTGGGGCTGGACAATCGTGCACAAAAGTAAGTTTTCTGAATTAAATTTTAATTAAATTTGAAATTTAAGGATTTTTATTTTTTTAAACTGAAGATTAATGACCATCTGCACTACTCATACATGGGAAGAAACCTCAGCTACATACCATCCAGTATTCCTTCCTCCATTGAAACTCTGGATTTCAGTTTTAATGGTTTGAAACACTTAAAGAAGACTGTTTTCCCAGTTTTCTATTTTTTGCGAGTCTTTGATCTGTCAAGGTAAGCAATATTGTTACCATCTAAATGCGTTATATAATGTGTTGCTGCTCTATAAATTATATTAAATTGATGTATTTGCTTTCAGATGCCACATCAAGCACATTGAAAATGATACTTTCTACAATGTGAAGAATTTGACTACTTTGATTCTCACTGGAAACCCTATTACATATTTTTGGACCTGAATGCTTGAATTCTTTACATAATCTACAAAGACTAGTTCTTGTGGATGTTGGTCTCTCATCATTAATGCTTCAAATGAATGACCTAACCAAGCTGCAGGAGCTTAGAGTCGGGACAAATATCATCCAGTCCATGTCTCTCCCTCCATTCATGAGCACCTTCAAAGACTTCAGTTTACTTGATCTACATGCCAATAATATATCCATCATCAAAACTGATCACACTGCTGTGTTGCGAGAGATCGGCAGAAACATGACTGTGAATCTCTCTGGAATCCGTTATTATACACTGAACCAGGAGCTTTCAAAGACATTAATCTTAGAGAACTGAACATCCGATCTACCTTTGTTTCATCTGCTGCTCAGCAAGCTGGTCTAAAAGCTCTATATGGTCTTAATATCAAAAGGCTGAAATTTGGGAAAGCACAAGGACGGTTTCAGATTTCACTTTTCAGATATTGACTTTTTAGATGGTCTGTGCTTTATTTATTTCCAGGAGGTACATTATTACATTATGGAGAAGCCTATTGAGACAATTTCTGTCTTTTGCTGTATGATTAATGCCACAAATGTAGCATTAATCGGAGGTCTAATTGACGAAATGGAGTAGGGGAGAGTGGGGTAAGATGAGCCACTTTTTACTTATGTGGTCCTCAAGATAAGGGAAAATGACGCAATAGTACAATCAAAGTAAGTAACTTCAGGATATTTCCTATCATTTTAAATGATCAGAATGTATCTATGACCAAGGGTTCTAAAAATATGGCTTCTTATAAAAAAAAGTTCCTGTGGCTCAGTTTGCCCAGGGTGGGGCTAAGTTGACCCGAGTCAATGAGTAAGATGAACCATCTGGTTGTAAACTGACCATCTGACTGAATCTGGTTCAAACACTTTAAATTTTAAAGATAATTTACCTCTTTTAAAAATGAATTTAATAATCAAATTTCCTTTTTCAAACAGTCATTTCTTTTCTTAAAGCTAATGTAAACAACATAAAACCAACCAAATGAAAATTTCAATCTTTAATTGTTTGCATTTCTGAAACAATATGTTTAACACCAAAGTTGTAATCTTCCCCAAAGCAGACTAAACGGAGAGTTTGTTGAGTAAAATAAAAATAAAAAACAATTCGAATGAAGGAATGTCACTGAAACTAGTGAACAATTTAGTCAAAAGATTCTTGGCATGGTAGCTTTTCTGCAATGTCGAACATGCTATTAGGGACTACAGGTGGAAAGATATATCTGATTATAATGTGATGAAAAGCATCTTCAGGTTCTTATCAGATATGGATTTGGTGCACTTGTACACTGTCCCTATCAAATAAACTACAAATAATATGTATATATGATAAACTAAATCAGTTGTGTACTATCAAATTAAAGTACCAGTTTATACTTCAGAGATTTAACTTAACTTCAGTGCCTTATGGTAGGGCAAGATAAAATGCTGGCTCAATTTACCCCACAGCATTTGGCTGACTTTGCCCCATAGCTGCCATTTTGGAAAAAAACTAGCTTGCTTACTAGTTCAGGCTAATATTTAGCTAAATGATTTACATGGTTTTATACATTGCTAAATCACTTATATGCTTCATAGATATTTTTAGACCTGGATAAATTTACTTTGATGTAACAGCCATTAAATATGGTATGCTAAAATATTACTTTGACAAGCCAAAAACAGTTTTTAAAGTAATTGGGTGCCTTCCACTCCTCCCGTGTTTTTATTCTTTTCACAGTCTGGCAGAAATTATGGGTGGTTTACAAAATATATGGTCACATGACAATAAAAGTGTACAGTACAAGATACAGGGGGTGGGTCAACTTACCCACTGGCTCATCTTACCCCACTCTCCCCTATGTACGTTTTCGTGAAATCAAGGATTTACTTGATGTCCGTTAAGTACTTTGCCAGGTAAACAGCTTTCACATCTCCATACTTTAGAAAAAATGGAACACAAAATCTGGTGACATCTGACGGTGTTGACAAATTTGGCATTTCTTTCACAAAACCAATGTTCATGTAGTAGCCATTTTATTTTTTTCTGTTGATGCTAGTGTCATTAAAAAAACAGCCTTGCTTTGATAGGAGATATTATTAAGTGTTGCTTTTGATAAAACAAGCTATTTTTCATCATTAAATTTTTTTTTAAAATCCATTTTATTGCATATGAATGATTGAACCCTTCTCTGTGGACACACTGTTTTAGTTGTAGTGAGAGGACATTAAGAAACACAGATTTGGTATAATAATGAGAAAATTAAATTGAAGGTGATAATTGTGCTAAATACATTCTATTATTAATCCCTCATGACATTTAAAATTGAAAATATTTGTATTTTTAAACCTAATAGCAGTTACCCTTGCTGGACCTGTTTTGTCCCATGTCTCAAGAATGACTGAATTACAACAGTGCACCTATTTGGGCTGATGCCTTCATAGACATGCCTAAGCTCCAGTATTTGGATTTGAGCTCTAACCAAATTAGATTAAAACAGTGCTGCACCTCACTTTTTGGCACCCCTCAAATCAGCTATTTGAATTTGAGTAGTAATGCAGAAATTGGCCTTGACTTAAGAGGACTTGAGGGACTTGATTCCCTTGAGATTCTAGATTTCCACCATACAACTGTTGTATGTGTCGGATACCTTTCAGTTTTGTCTAACTTAAAGTACTTGAGGTATCTGTATGTTTCTTATTCATGTACCACCTTTACTAACATATTCAGCTTTTATGGGCTGAAGAATCTTAATGTTCTCAAGATTGCCGGCAATAATTTTCAAGGTGATGTAGCAAGATATTTATTTAATAATCTCACTTCTAGAGCACCTTGACATGTCGCCCTGTCATATGGTAGTGTTACATCTAAGCTCATTCAGAAATCTTCAGAGGCTTAGGCCATGTCCTCACGTACACGGGTATTTTTATAAACTAAAAAATCTCCGTCCACATGAAAACGCAAACGCATGCTATGAATCACTGTCATGAGCATGCCTAACCAACAGGTGGCGATATAATCTCAACCGTAAAGCCATGTTGGCCAATCAGAAGCCTGAACAAGTTTCCAGTAGGCGGAGATAACAGCGCAGGCGCTGACGTCACAAGCCAAAAACTCCGGTTTCACTATCTACACGACAACACTGCAACCAGAGTTTTTGAAAATCTTCACCCTGGCAGGCGTTTTCAAAAATATTCGGTTTCAGTGAACTGGTGCTGCGTTTGCGTGGGGACGAACGGCCTAACCGCGTAGAAAAAGCTGCGGTTTTAAAAATAACTGTGTTCGTGTGGACAGGGCCTTAGACTTTTGAATCTCAGAGGTAACCATTTAATGACTATAAATTTTCTGGCCTACCCAGACCTTAAACAATTAACATCACTTTATGTCGATAAAAACAGCATTACTAGCATACCACTTCATGTTCTCCAATCGTTGCCCACAAACCTCTCGGAGTTTGATTTGTCCTCTAACCCCATCGATTGCTCCTGCTCCCAGACAGATTTTATTTGGTGGATTATCCAAAATCAGAATGTTTTGAAGCAGCCGGAAAATATTTTCTGTAAAACCACAGATTTTAGAACAACAGACTTTGACATTGACAGCTGTGTGCACAAGAAAAGACTCACAATTGTTTTATCTGTATGTTTTGTTACAGTAGTAGTTGTTTTGTCATTCTTGGTTTATAGGTTCCAGTTTATCTTCAGTATTGCTGTATTCTACTGAGAGGCTATAGATCACCTGGACAGCAAGAATGTTCCTATGACGCATTTGTGATTTTCTCCAGCTATGATGAAGTCTGGGTCATGAATGAACTGATGGAGAATCTGGAGAACAGTGTTCCACCTATTCAGCTTTGCCTTCATATGCGGGACTTTCAAGCAGGGAAGTCCATAGCCTCCAACATTATCGATGAAGGTATAATGGGCAGTCGTAAAATCATTGTGGTTGTGTCTCAACACTTCATTGATAGTGCCTGGTGTCGCTTTGAGTTTGAATTAGCTCAGTCTCGCTTTATGATGGAACGCAGTGCCAACATCATCATCATCATTCTGGAAGATGTGGAAGAGAGGAAGACTAAGAAAGTGTTTGGACTTCATAAGCATCTGAAAAAGAACACATACCTAAAGTGGAGCAGAGACCCTTTGAGTAACATGGGATTCTGGATATGCCTCAGGAAAGCTATTATTGCCACAAACCAATAATATTATTTAGAAAACATGTCAGTATGGTTTTCCAGTCATGTTATGTGTAATAACAGCTTTTAGTAACAGTTTTAATATGATAATTGTGTGTATTCTGATTAAATAAAGTGGGTCCTCATTTTTGAACCATGGATTTAAAGAATTATTGCATTTTATTCAACCATTTTTGGCAAAGATGCCATTGTTAGTTGTACAGTATACTGCAAACAATGGGCTTTCTACTCTTCTTGAATGCACTACAGAAATTAATAAATTCCCCTTTTTTTTCTGCAGGAAAAGCACAACAGTGTAAACAGATTTGTCAAATGCTATTTGTGTTACAGTAAAATAGATTCGAGCTCCACACTCAGTGATGTGTGAATTTGTTAATGGAAAAATACCTAGGTTACTATATGATTTTGTAGCTGAATTTCCTCAATCCTAACTAAAGCTGTTCTTTGTTTGAGTTTTCCATAGATTTTAAAGGATCTTATCTTACAATCATTGCATCACAGGAAAATTCCTTTGCTGAATTATAATTATGGTGCATGCAAGAAAAACGTTTCATTAGGGTGAGCGCACTAAATTTATGTGCCGTTGCCACATGCTTCTGTGCAAAAACCTGCATCTTACTAACCTCAAGCAATGTAAAGTTTAACCAGGCGCTTAACGTGTAAACCAGTTTTTAAGGGGAGACACTGCAGGCAAAAACACTGTTTTTTCATGCACCTGTCAAGTTTGAGATTTTGGGCTTTTTGGTTTTTCATAAAGTGTTTTTTTAAGACTAATGGAAAGAAAACATCCAAAAGACACTGTTAAGTGTTTATTTTATAGCACTTTTTCTATTTGTGTCAATAGATTACAATTATAATACATATTTTTAAAGGCCATTTTCTCAAAATGAGATTTTTCTCCTACACTGAGCCATAAATGTCCACTTCAGTAGCACTTAGACACACCAAACTTTACATTTTTATTCCTGTCTGTATCCTGAAGGTTTTTACTGAGGGATTTGTTCATATATAATTTGCTTGATTATATACAATATTTTATTCCTCAAAAAATTGTGAAAATATGTTTTATGTCTGTTCTAAGTATTTTCTGAATTATTGAGTGACAAAAATGAGATACCCAAAATTCCCTCTGTAAAAACATCTGACGCTAATATGTAAAATAAAATAAGCAAGAATTTCACTGGACTTCATCCAGTGTTTAGATTTTTATACTAGAAATTTATGCAAATTAGCACACATTTCATTAAATAATGCATCATTTGCATATTTAAACCTAACATTTTAGAAAATGTGTAATACAAAAAATGTTTGCAATTACCAATGTAATCAATCAACTGGGTAAGGCGATAACTATTACTTAATTGTTTTACCGTATTCACCAGCAGTGTCTCGCCTTAAAATTATTACAAGGCTCTCTTGAATACTTGATTCTGATTGGTCATTTGTGGTCATATATTTCTGAATAATCACTGCTCATTCCAGTAATGAGTCACACCAAGGCATGAGAAATTACAGACCCCACTAAATTGCAAACCATAGTTTAAGTTTGTGTGTTCATTGAATTTAGAAGTGAATCTGACATTTACATCCTCATCTGTTTAAATGTCTCTGTGCTATAAGCAAATTGGCAGGTCAGAGCTCACCAAAGAGAACCCCATCTCGTATTCCAGTACTTCTTAGGCCTAGATTTGTCTCATATCACCACAAGCGGTCTCTCGAGATTTCTTTCGTCATACAAACGCAACTAGAGTAGGCAATTGGCGCCATCTTGTTTTTCACATTGGTAAAATTCAGACGACCATCAGAAGACTTCAGTGTTGTAATTGCTTGATGACAGCTATAATTAAAAGAAAATACATCATTTAATATTTGGACAGAAGCTTAAGAGTCTCTAGTTAAAGCAAAGAAAAATAAACTGGTCAGGTGAACGAGAATCTGGTAAGAAAGCAATACACAAAAACTAAATGAGAAATTAGAAACTAGCCTACAGCAGAACCTATAGAGGAAGACAAGTATAGCTTAAATTGCAATCTCTTGTTTATTATTTAAAAGTAATAAAATATAAGTTAATATTTTGATGTTGTTGCAGTGTTTATCTTGTTGTAATGGATTTTTTGTATTAGCAAAATCTTTTAGTTAATCTACAAAAACCAACTCAAATCAGCTTGTCAATGTATTTGTTTTTCGGTGTGCTAGCATTCATCCAATGATTCAGGCCAGCTTGTAAAAGAGTTTGGCAAAATATGCAAGAAAATCCTGTAAGTCACGTGGACCTGTTTTAAGGGAACTTCTTGTAAAATTAGGGCCTTTAACTTTTTGAAAGCAATGAATTTCAATTTGGTATGACTGACACTGAAACCCCAGTGTAATGTGTTGTGCACATGACTAGATACTGTACATAAATGTCATTCTGGCATATTATGCCATTTTGACATAGTATTAGAAATTCCTGATTTATGAACTGGTAATTATTTTCTTTACTAAACATGTTCAGTTGGTTTCAGTAGTTTTTAAACATTGTTTCTTGTTGTTAATTCATTGTATTCTGAAAATGAATGACTCATTCTAGATTTACCGGAATAAGCACAGGACTATGACCTTTTGATTATATATTTTTCACCAAAATTCCCTATTGTTTAAAACCACAGCGTTAGTTCCTCAGATTCAATGACCTCAAACAAGGCTGGCTTATTTTATGACAGGTTGAGAAAATCTTGATGAGAACAGTCAAGATGAATTTCTTCACTATTAGTTCTTTCATTATATATTTTTCTGGGGCTGGAGAATCGTGCACAAAGGTTAGTTTTATGAATTTAAATCTCTTCTTTATTATTTTTTTTAATTGATGTGACATTTTTATTTATTTGATTTGATATATTTCTGCGAGTCCTTGATCTGTCAAGGTAATCAATATTGTTACCATCTAAATATGTTGTATAATGTGTTGCTGCTCTATAAATGATATCAAATGTATGTATTTGTTTTCAGATGCCAAATCAAGCACATTGAAAATGATACTTTCTACAATGTGAAGAATTTGACTACTTTGATTCTCACTGGAAACCCTATTACATATTTTTGGACCCGAATGCTTGAATTCTTTACATAATCTATAAATACTAGTTCTTGTGGATGTTGGTCTCTCATCATTAATGCTTCAAATGAATGACCTAACCAAGCTGCAGGAGCTTAGAGTCGGGACAAATATCATCCAGTCCATGTCTCTCCCTCCATTCATGAGCACCTTCAAAGACTTCAGTCTACTTGATCTACATGCCAATAATATATCCATCATCAAAACTGATCACACTGAAGGTCCAGAGAACTGAACATCCGATCTGCCTTTGTTTCATCTGCTGCTCAGCAAGCTGGTCTAAAAGCTCTGTACGGTCTTAATGTCAAAAAAATTATGTTTTGAAAATACAGGGGAGAATTCCAATTTCAGCTCTCGGATGCTGATGTTTTAGATGGCCTTCGCTCTATTTATTTCCAGGAGGTCTATTACTATATTAATGAAAGGGCAAGTGAGCCAATTTCTATCTTTCGCTGTATGATTAATGCCACAAATGTATTAGTAAAGAATGGTATGATTGATGAGATGGAGTATGTATTTTTTCGCGAAATCAAGGAGCTTTACTTGCTTTATGATCATTCAGGAACTTTACCAGGTAAACAGCTTTCACATCTCCATACTTTAGAAAAACGAGTAATTGCACACAACATTGAACCTATACGTGCTGGAACCTTCACAGACATGCCTAAACTTCAGTACTTGGATTTAAGCTGTAACCGAATGACATTAAAACGATGCTGCACCACACTTTTGTCTGGCACCCCTCAAATCAGATATTTGAATTTGAGTCGAAATGGAGAAATTAGTCTTGATGTAGGAGGATTTGATGGACTTGATTCACTTGAGATTCGAGATTTCCACCATACAAGGGTTGTAGATATGGGATACTTTTCAGCTTTGTCCAACTTAAAGTATTTGAGACATTTGGATGTTTCTTATTCAACTATAACTTTTACAAACATATATTGCTTTTATGGGCTGAGAAATCTTAATGTTTTCAAGATTGCCGGCAATAATTTTCAAGGTGATGTAGCAAGATATTTGTTTAATAATCTCACTTTTCTAGAGCATCTTAACATGTCATATTGCCGTGTGGTAGAGTTACATCCAAGCTCATTCAGAAATCTTCAGAGGCTTAGACTTTTAAATCTGAGAGGAAACAATTTAATGACTATAGATTTTCTGGCCTACCCAGACCTTAAACAATTAACATCACTTTCACAAACCTCTCGGAGTTTGATTTGTCCTCTAACCCCATCGATTGCTCCTGCTCCCAGACAGATTTTATTTGGTGGATTATCCAAAATCAGAACGTTTTGAAGCTACCTGAATATATTTTCTGTAAAACGTTTTCACCAAGTTCAGATTTTAGAGCAACAGACGTTGACATTGACAGCTGTGTGCACAAGAAAAGACTCACAATTGTTTTATCTGTATGTTTTGTTACAGTAGTAGTTCTTTTGTCATTCTTGGTTTATAGGTTCCAGTTTATCTTCAGTATTGCTGTATTCTACTGAGAGGCTATAGATCACCTGGACAGCAAGAATGTTCTTATGACGCATTTGTAATTTTCTCCAGCTATGATGAAGTCTGGGTCATGAATGAACTGATGGAGAATCTGGAGAACAGTGTTCCACCTATTCAGCTTTGCCTTCATATGCGGGACTTTCAAGCAGGGAAGTCCATCGCCTCCAACATTATCGATGAAGGTATAATGGGCAGTCGTAAAATCATTGTGGTTGTGTCTCAACACTTCATTGATAGTGCCTGGTGTCGCTTTGAGTTTGAATTAGCTCAGTCTCGCTTTATGATGGAACGCAGTGCCAATATCATCATCATCATTCTGGAAGATGTGGAAGAGAGGAAGACTAAGAAAGTGTTTGGACTTCATAAGCATCTGAAAAAGAACACATACCTAAAGTGGAGCAGAGACCCTTTGAGTAACATGGGATTCTGGATACACCTCAGGAAAGCTATTATTGCCACAAACCAATAATATTTTTTGGAAAATGGATAGTTCTTGTGTATACCTCAAGATAGTTTGTCAGTACAGCTTTCCAGTTATTTTACAACAGCTTTGACCTGATCATTGTCTGTGTAGTGGCTTTCCTATAAGTTAGGACAGGGTGCTAAGTTCTTTTTGACTCATAGGTTGGAATAAACAATGTCCACACAGTCTGTATCTTGACTCATTCATTTATTAAATAACACAACAAAAAACACATACACTAAAAACATGTGCAGCTATGGTAAGAACCATATGTTCCCATCACCCATACCTGTCTTATACAACTTCAACGGAAGGTAAATATCGCTTGATGTGAACAGGGGACCTACTTATCCACTGCAGTGCACATCGCCCTCTAGTGGTGAAATAATCATTACATTTTGGGTCCTACAGTGTGTATTTTGATTAAAGGTGACATATCATGAAAATCTGACTTTTCCAGGTTTTAAGTGCTATAATCAGGTCCCCGGTGCATCTAATGCGACTTCATGCATTTTTAGTTATTTATACTGTTAAAGAGTTGGATTCTCATTCTGGCCAAAGTTAAAAAAAAAACGAATTGGACGTATGACGGAAGAATTTCTGTGCCAAATACTCTCCTTCTGGGATTGTACAAGTTTCTGAAAGTTTTTTCAAGCATGGCTCTTCATGACGTTATGAAGGGTGGAATTTCTTGTATGGGCATTTCTCCCGGAAGAGTGCGCACACAGCAACCAGAGCAAGAGCAAGAGTGTGCCCATCAACATGTTCATTCGGCAGCACTGCACGGGACTTGCTCGGGAAGAATGTCTCCAAAGAAGTGTGTTTTTGGTTGTAAGGGAAAGATAACCTTTTTCAGCTTCCCAAAGAACCCAGTGTTATGTAAACAGCGGATCCAGTATGTTCTTTTCTGGAAGCAACGGAGTTTCGCAAGTATGTTGTTTATAAAAAAGGCCCAGTTCGATGCTGGATTTGAACATGGTTTGATATTGTGATGTGTCGTTCATTAACAAATCGTTCAATTTGAACGAATCTTTCATATGACTCGTCTCATCGAGGGATTCGTTCATTTCGGGTTTACCCACATGTGCAACATCCTATAGGTTCTTTACAGCAAACAGAATTGATTAGTTCACCCATCGAGTCCTCGGGTTCGGGTTCGAGTCGTTCGTTCATCAGCCCCATAGGCTATAATGCAGTCTGCACCGGATACAGAAATTATTAGTTCACCTCTCGAGTCTTCGGATCTGAGTCGTTCGTTCTTTTGTCACATGATGTGACAGCCGTATTTGATACAGAAATTAGTTAATCAGTTATGCGATGCATTTCTGGTCTCAAACTGTTTTTATTTCTTACAATTTATACATTTGTGAATTTCTGTCATGATTGTTATTTTCCATAACACGTGTAGTGTGGTAAAGGGGTTGCTTCAAACTTTATCAGAATTACGGGGAAAATCACACTGATAAAGCAAATAGGATACCTACATATAATAACAACACACAGTTAATAATATACTAATGTAATGTGTTTGTTGTACGATACTGAACTGAACTGAAGCGGTCACGTGAAGAACGAACGACTCAAACCAAAGACTCGAGAGGTGAACTAATCAATTCTGTTTCCGTTATGGACTGCATTATAGCCTATGGGGCTGTCACAGGATGAATGAATCCACTCGAACCCGAGGACTCGAGAGATGAACTAATCAATTCTATTTCCGGCACAGACTGCATAGCATTAATTGAACGAACGACTCAAACCCAAAGACTCCAGAGGTGAACTAATCAATTCTGTTTCAAGTTCTGCATAGCTTTAGCTTATAGGGATATGATGTGACAAAAGAACGAACGACTCCGATCGGGATGTGAGGTAAACTAACAGACTAAGCAGTGAATTAATCATTTCTGTTTGTCATAATTTTGCCTTGGTTGCATTATAGTTGTTTTTCTTATGTAAAATATGATCAATGTCGCGTAAGTAGATGTGCTGTTGAATTTTGCTATTAACATGTAAGATTTTTATTATATAAAATGAACTAAATGATTCGACAAAAGATTTGTTAATTTTGATGAACGAGATTCAAATGACCGAGTCAGTAAAATGATCCGAACTTACCATCACTAGTTTGATACTGAAAGATGGAGCGGACCCAGCGATAAAAGATCCCGGTCATGATTCGGAACTGCAGGCGATAAGTAAAACTGCATTAAATTTCTGTTTTGTTGGCAATCGGCACTCAGATGCTTGTGACTCTTTAGCTCCACCCACGGCGCGCCTTCAGGAGCTCGGCTGTTTTCGGAGAGATCGTAAAGCTTTATCTTTTATTTACAAATATGATAAAACTAAAGACTCTTTGGAGATATGAAGGGTGCAATACTACTCTATAAGTATTCAAGATTAAAGGGATAGTTCACCCAAAAATGAAAATTCTGTCATAAATTACTCACCCTCATGTCGTTCCAAACCTGTAAGATCTTTGTTCATCTTCAGAACACAAATTAAAGGGTTAGTTCACCCAAAAATTACAATTAGCCCATATTTTACTCACCCTCAAAGCATCCTAGGTGTATATGACTTTCTTCTTCCAGACAAATCCAGTGGGAGTTATATTTAAAATTATCCTTGCTCATCCAAGCGTTAGAATGGGAGTAGGCAGATGTTTTTGTTCAACAGTCCAAAAGATGTCAAATAAAGCATGCACATCCATAATAAAACGTGCCTCACAAGGCTCCGGGGGATGAATAAAGTAGGGATGTGCCGAACGAGGCTTTTGAAGCAGTGAGGCTTTTACAACAAACTGCGTTGATGCTTTGAAGCTTTTGACACAGTGCTCTACCCTGCCATCTGGTGGTCAATAAAAATTCTTACACCAACTGTATCATTTAGATGTTTTGTTCATTGGAATGTCATTGTAAGGTTTAATTGTCTATTTAATAAGCATATGTGTCATAGCAAGGCGGCATGTGTGTGTGCAGCGATAGAGTTTCACAAATTTATTGTATTTTGCACAATACAATGACAGTAAAGACTTTATTTTCTTCATTTTTACTTGCATCAAACTTGTGTCTTTTCACATAAATAGAATGTTTAATACGCCAATAAATTAGACCTACGTCATTTTTCATTGCACCATTTTTGTGTCTTCCTTACAAAAGAACACAAACATGCACATTGTTAAAAAACACAAATGCACAAATACAAATGCAGTTATTGCATTTAATATATTTTGCAATAATATATTTTTCTCACCAATGTGAGCTGTTGACAACAGAGGATGGCGTTTACAAGCAGCAAAAATGTTTGTGATTAAGGAAGGACTTTTATCCTTTTCGGGAACAGTGGTTGAGCCTGCAAGGTGTTTTAATCTTCATTCAGTCAACAGACATTCACATGTCATTGTTTTTAATAGTAGTACTATAATTAACAACGATACACCACGTAAAAACACTACATACATATAGGCATACTGACTGATATATATCTATAACATTGTACTAAATGGATCGCTGGTATGGGACAGTGCAATCGACGTGCTTTGTATTTGTGCCTAGCGTGACGTGTCAGTGAGGTAACGAAGCTTAGTTTTCACAGGTCAGGTGACAGCCTCATTTCAAGCAATGCTCCGGAACACTGTTTCGAAGCACTAGTGTGTCAAAAACTCGAAACGTGTGTCGACACTAGGTGTCGATCTACCCATCCCTAGAATAAAGGCCTCCTGTAGTGAATCGATGCGCTTGTGTAAGAAAAATATCCATATTTAAAATGTATAAACACTTTTCATTCACTTCCGCTGACTGCTCATACGTGCAAGCCTTTCTGGGCGGATGACGAATGTGTCGCGCACACGCCTGTGAGATATGCTAGTCTCATGAGTTTGTTTACAGGAGCAAAGGAAGCAAAGTTTCCTTACTTTACCAAAGGAAAAACAGTCTCCTCTTGGCTTATATCGAAATCCTCCGACATTCGTCTTTATGTTTTGTGCTTCTAATTTGTGACCAGTGTTTTGTTTTGCTGTCTCTCCTCCGCACTTCCGCATTCGTTACTAATCACCGGTGCATGTGCGACGCGTAGGCCTACGCCCTATGTCATCCGCCGGAATGGCTTCCATGTATGACAGTCAGCAGAAGTGAGAAAAAAGTATTTATAACATTTTAAATATAAAGCGTAGCGTTAGTTCTGGCAGGTCACGTTAGTCAAGCTCGCATCAGCTGACTCTCAGCTGATCCCCATCTACTTATGGGAATACGACACCTATCTAAGCATTCATATATTAGGTCCCTCAGTATTATCAGCAGTTTTCGCATTGCTCAGTAGCTAATTACCCTCCTACATCCCCAACTCCTCCTCTGTCAGTCAGGAATCAGCCTTCTGATTCTCCTTTGTATCAGACTAATTCTAAAATGTGTACATAAAATTATTGAACTTTAACGATATCTGCAATACATTTATGTTGGTTCTGTTCTGTTTACCCTGGGGGGGTTATCGCTGCTCTCCCTGCTCTCATCCATGCTAGGCTGCATGGATGCGCAGGGAGTTCTTGCCCAGAACAGAACCATACCGCCAATCCAAACTGTATGCTAATTGTCAATCATCTTTGACGATAGTGGTCCTGACAGAAATGGATATTTTTCTTACAAAAACGCATCGATTCACTACAGGAGGCCTTTATTCACCCCCCGGAGCTGTGTGACAAGTTTTATTATGGATGCACGCTTTATTTGAAGTCTTTTGGACTGTTGATTAAAATTACTAAACAATGGTTACAACAATATGAAGGACCCTGCTGGTTCGACTTGATTAAAGACAGAGACGTGACTTCCCAACAAGACCAAATTTATTTCACAATCTTTCTTCTAAAACAACTTATAAAAAATAACTCTATAACAGCTTACCAATTAAATACCCACAGTGATTAGAAATCTGGATAAATACCACATTAGCAGCAGGGAGAAAAATCACACAGCAATCAGTGAATGGAAATTCTTAAAGCCAGTGACAATCCAAAAAAACGCACAATACCACAACAAAAAGTGAGCACTCTCCTGCTGTTAAGCTTCAAAATCACAGGTCATCAAACATTCACAAGTAGGTAAATACACTGGCAAATAAAGGTTTGGTATTTCAGAGAGAACCAAAGAAACAAAGAAAAAAATAAAATAAAATAAACAGGTACAAACACTTAAGCAAAATTACATTGTCACTAATATTATTTTAAAACCGTCCAGACTGCTTCAATACACAGGTACAGCAATTAATTTAATACAGTAACACTAAAAACGAGGATGTCAAATACGTCTGCATAAATATATCATACGAATTAACAGGACAGATTAGTCTTAGAAAGCACCCGGCAAATCACAGTTCAAAACAACGGCATCCACAGCCGTCGGAATCAGCCACATAAACCGAGCGATGAAACAGCAGTGTATAAAACGGGTATATGAAACAGCAGCTAGCACTCTCAGGCCGCACCTGCAATACAAATGTAACCAGGGCACGAATAAAAAGTTTAACTTCAATAATGGACTTCCCCTTTAAAGGGATACCTGAAAATGAAAATTTTGTCATTAATCACTTACCCCCATGTCGTTCCAAACCCGTAAAAGCTTCGTTCGTCTTCGGAACACAATTTAAGATATTTTGGATGAAAACCGGGAGGCTTGACTGTCCCATTGACTGCTTAGTAAATGACACTGTCAAGGTCCAGAAAAGTATGAAAATCATCGTCAGAAAAGTCCATCTGCCATCAGTGGTTCAACCGTAATGTTATGAAGAGATGAGAATACTTTTTGTACGTAAAGAAAACAAAAATAATGACTTTATTCAACCATTTGTCTCCTCTGTGTCTCTCCGCATCACCGTATCGCCATTTTGGAGAATATCCACTGAACGTACGCTGTTCTGTGTCAGCCGCGACACAAGGATAAGTTTTCTACATATATTTACGCTTTGATTTGAACGAAAACAGCGCATCCGTGCAGCGCGGCTGACACAGAAGAGCGTACGCTGCTTGCGTTCAGCGGATATTCTCCAAAATGACGCTACGGTGATGCGGAGAGAGACAGAGGAGACAAATTGTTGAATAAAGTTGTTATTTTTGTTTTCTTCGCGTACAAAAAATATTCTCATCGCTTCATAACGTTACGGTTGAACCACTGATGGCAGATGGGCTATTCTGACGATGCTTTTCATACTTTTCTGGACCTTGACAGTGTCATTTACTAAGCAGTCAGTGGGACAGTCACAAGCCTCCCGGTTTTCATCCAAAATATCTTAAATTGTGTTCCGAAGACGAACGAAGCCTTTACGGGTTTGGAACGACATGGGGGTAAGTGATTAATGACAAAATTTTCATTTTGGGGTGGAGTAACCCTTTAAAACCCACAATAAATTTCTTACCTCCTATATGAAATTCTTAAACTACAGCAGACTTTATGCGAATTGCGTTCGCCACTCCACTCACACACACTCCTAATGGCAAACATATATTTAGACTGTGACTTACGACTTACGAAAAAGACTAGTAAGGCGGACAACTCACCAGGAAAGAGCAAAAAGGGGATAGACGGCGAAAAAGACTATTACTGCCCGCAGAGCATAAACACACGTTGAAGGAGTCACCACGCAGTGCTTAAGCAGCCATCTTTTATGCTGCCTTCACGTGCTATCGGAAATTTCCTATTTCCCACGTGTGAAGTCGTGATTACGAGCTTGTCGTATTCAAGTGCTTTAATGTCGGAAAGAATAAAATGTAGCATCCTATTGGTTGACTATCATAAACATTCACCGCGCTACACATGCAGTTCGCTGACAATTCTGGAATTTCGGTCAAAGGCAAAGCCTACATGCTTATTTCACTGCTTATAAAACATACTCGAATGATCGTTCATATCTAGCCTATAAATACACTACTTTAGCGACATGGAGAATTTAAATATCTAATTATATAAATATCTAATTTAAAAATCTAGGCATAAAATTTTGCCTAGATAAATAAATGTGCACATATTTTTTAATAGTTTTAAATATAAAATTTAAAACTCAAAACTGAAATTAATATGATATATAATTGTATAGAAAATTGGATTTTAATATGACAATTAATCTATTCAGAAAGGTACTTCTTCATTCAAGATTTACGAAATTAAGCACAAGCCTACTTCCCTTTGACATCCTTTCACCCATAGTTCCCCATTGTTGAAAATCATGGCATTTGTTCCTCATAATTTTATGACCTCAACCAAGGCTGGCTCACATTTTTATGACCGGTTGAGATCACTCAAGATGACTTTCTTTACTGTAAGTGCTTTCATGATATATTTTTCCATAAGTGCTGGAGAATCATGCACAAAAGTAAGTTTTTTTTCCATTTAAATTTGCTATATTTTTTTACTGTTGTCAAATTTATTCATTTTATTTATTTATTTATTTAGATTACTGAGAATCTGCACTACTCATGCATGGGAAGAAACCTCAGTTACATACCACCCAGTATACCTTCCTCTGTTCAAACTCTAGATTTCAGTTTTAATGTTTTGAAACACTTACAGAAGACTGTTTTCCCTCTTTTGTCTTTCCTGCAAGTCCTTGATCTGTCAAGGTAAGTAATATTGTTACCATCTAAATATGTATGTGTTGTAAATAATATTAATTGATGTATTTGCTTTCAGATGCCAAATCAAGCACATTGAAAATGATACTTTCTACAATGTGAAGGATTTGACTACTTTGATTCTCACTGGAAACCCTATTACATATTTTGGACCTGGATGCTTAAATTCTTTACATAATCTACAAAGACTAGTTCTTGTGGATGTTGGTCTCTCATCATTAATGCTTCAAATGAATGACCTAACCAAGCTGCAGGAGCTTAGAGTCGGGACAAATATCATCCAGTCCCTGTCTCTCCCTCCATTCATGAGCACCTTCAAAGACTACAGTTTACTTGATCTACATGCCAATAATATATCCATCATCAAAACTGATCACACAGTTTTGTTGCGAGAGATCGGCAGAAACATGACTTTGATCCTCTCTAGCAATCCGTTATTATACATTGAACCAGGAGCTTTCAAAGACATTTATCTCAGAGAACTGAACATCCGATCTGCCTTTGTTTCACCTGCTGCTCAGAAAGCTGGTCTAAAAGCTCTATATGGTCTTAATGTCAAAAGGCTCACGTTTGGAAAGTACAGGTGTGATTACAAGATTTTGTCATCAGATGCAAACTATTTAGATGGTCTTTGCTTTATTAATTTTCATGAGGTATATTATTACATGAAAGAAAAGCATGATGTGCCAGTTAGTATCTTTCGCTGTATGATTAATGCAACAATTGTAGCTGTGAAGGGTGGTATAATTCGTGAAATAGCAAATGTGCCATTTTATGAAATCAAGGAGCTTTATTTGATTTCCAATCAATTAGATACTGTGCCAGGCAAAAAACTTGCACATCTCCATACTTTAGAAAAACTAGTATTTACAGACAACGTTGCAACCCAAATTCCAGACTTCATAGACATGCCTAGTCTTCAGTATGTGGATCTGAGTTCAAACCAAATTACATTAACATCATGCTGCTCATTTTTTTCTGGCACCCCTCAGATGAGGTATTTAAATTTGAGTCTAAATCCACAAATCGGTCTTTCTATAGGACCATTTGATGGACTTGATTCCCTTGAGATTCTAGATTTCCATCATACAAGGGTTGTAGGTATGGGATACCTTTCTCTTTTCTCTAACTTAAAGTATTTGAGATATCTAGATATTTCTTATTCAAGTATCACCGTTATTAACATATTTTGCTTTTATGGACTGAGGAATCTTAATGTTCTTAAGATGGCCGGCAGTAATTTTCAGGGTGATGTAGCAAGATATTTGTTTAATAATCTCACTTTTCTAGAGCATCTTGACATGTCATATTGCCGTGTGGTAGAGTTACATCCAAGCTCATTCAGAAATCTTCAAAGGCTTAGACTTTTAAATTTGAGAGGAAACAATTTAATGACTATAGATTTTCTGGCCCTCCCAAACCTGAAACAATTAATTTCACTTTATGTCGATAAAAACAGCATTACTAGCATACCACTTCATGTTCTCCAATCGTTGCCCACAAACCTCTCGGAGTTTGATTTGTCCTCTAACCCCATCGATTGCTCCTGCTCCCAGACAGATTTTATTTGGTGGATTATCCAAAATCAGAACGTTTTGAAGAAACCAGAAAATATTTTCTGTAAAACCTTTTCACCAAGTTCAGATTTTAGAGCAACAGACGTTAACATTGACAGCTGTGTGCACAAGAAAAGACTCACAATTGTTTTATCTGTATGTTTTGTTACAGTAGTAGTTCTTTTGTCATTCTTGGTTTATAGGTTCCAGTTTTATCTTCAGTATTGCTGTATTCTACTGAGAGGCTATAGATCACCTGGACAGCAAGAATGTTCCTATGACGCATTTGTGATTTTCTCCAGCTATGATGAAGTCTGGGTCATGAATGAACTGATGGAGAATCTGGAGAACAGTGTTCCACCTATTCAGCTTTGCCTTCATATGCGGGACTTTCAAGCAGGGAAGTCCATCGCCTCCAACATTATCGATGAAGGTATAATGGGCAGTCGTAAAATCATTGTGGTTGTGTCTCAACACTTCATTGATAGTGCCTGGTGTCGCTTTGAGTTTGAATTAGCTCAGTCTCGCTTTATGATGGAACGCAGTGCCAATATCATCATCATCATTCTGGAAGATGTGGAAGAGAGGAAGTCTAAGAAAGTGTTTGGACTTCATAAGCATCTGAAAAAGAACACGTACCTAAAGTGGAGCAGAGACCCTTTGAGTAACATGAGATTCTGGATACGCCTCAGGAAAGCTATTATTGCCACAAACCAATAATATTACATGTATATTTGTTGCATAAATGTTTTAAATAAATAAACTTTTGCCTCATTTTCAACCACAAAGTTAAAGAAGAAATATTGAATTTTTTTTGCACTGCAAAACTCCATTTAAAATGGCAAATAAAGGGCTTTCTATGGACTATGGGAATGCATGTTGGAAATTAATAACTTCCCCTTTGAAACAAAGAGGAGAAGTGAGAGTTGCTTGCACACATGCAATACTAAGACAATAGAGTATAAACAGATTTGTCAAATGTGCTTTAAGTCGAAACAGATCACAGCTTCACACCAGTTGATGTGTGAATTTGTTAAGTTTCAAATCTAGTGACAGAAAAGCTCCTAGTTTGCTGTTTGATCTAGAATCTCCTGACTGACAGTGTGTTCTTTCTCACACCAAATTTTCCAGAGATCTCACGCAAGATCATTATTATCATATGGGGAACGGATGATTTTCCTATGCTCAGTCTTATTTTTGGTGAGTTCTGGACAAGGACAGGAATATACCACGGAAATAACAACACAATATAGTTAATAAAGTTCATATTTATGTTTTAAAGCAAGGCTCTCAGAGAATACTGTTTGTTTATGCAGGCCCAGTAATATAGTAGTATTTTATAGTAGTGTTATTTATATTAAGCTATAGTATTATAAACATGCAGGGCTTTTGAACTTATTTTGTATTAATTTGGCTTATGTTCTGCTGAGATTTTCCCAGAAACCAAAATATTATATTATATTAGTTATTTTAGAATATAGTATGTTTAGTTATTTTAGAATTTAATATATTAGTAATTTCAAAGTTAATGTTGATTTTCAAGGGAAGGGAAAAGTGAAATTCCATAGAACATAATTTTGCATGTTTTAGAGCTTGACCTTACTCTTTATCTTTCCCTTTCAGGGGAACTCGAACTGCGTCTCTATAGTGGTCACCATGTGGAATGACTTCGGCGTGACTGGTGTCTGAAGCACGTTTAAACACGACAATAACATTGGCCGGTGACAGCCTATGAAGTCACTACCAGCATGACCTTAATATAAGTGGGTGCCGGGAGAATGCGTCACCCTCTTCTTCATCTTCAGGGACAGTTTTGTTTGAAGCACGTTTGTTACAGTAAGAACACTGCTCTTTCTTTCACTATGGCGAGCACTAGTAAGACGTTTAAAATGTGTGCTGATCCGTGTGATGTGTCCCCATTTTGTGACACCTGACGACACATATGATCTTTGCATCTTGTGACGCCTTGCGTCTGTTTGGGTGAGGAGCATGCACGCGTTGTCCTCGAGGAGGCAGCATGTGTTTATTGTGAGCTTTTTACTATGAAAAAGTAATCGTTTGTCTCTCTTCTCGAGGGAGGAGAGACAGCCATTGGTTCCCCATGGTTCAGGACCTGCTACTGCTGAGGCATGGAGGAAAATAAAATCGGTTTCTCAGGTGAACCTGGCTGAAGACTTTAAATAGGGTCTTTCTTTTTCATGCTCTTTGGCCGCAAATGAGAGTGAACTGCTGGATGAGGATGTGCTGTCTCTTACATCCTCTGACCCAGTGGCAAATGCTCTGCTGGACTCCTACTCTGCGTATGCAGAGCTACTTGAGGTTTTGGAGCCCGCCATGGTGAGGCTGGACTTGCTGTGAAGGTGAGTCAGGGAGGAAGTCACTTGGGGCCGCTTGGATGAGTGCTTCTTTTCTGGCCATAACCCTCCAGATCAAGTGAGCCTTCCATTCCTTCCAGATTTCCATGTTGAGATCAAG